CCTCTGGAGTGGCCCGGCGACAGTAACCTACTGCAGGGTCCGGACACATTTCTGCCAAAAGCTGCTGGGTTTTGAGATTTGTTTCTGAGTCTCTGGGATCAAGGCCATTAAGGAGCTTGATCAGGAGCCAGAGAGGCCATTCGTGGGTAATGACTTGGGGTCTCGTTGGGGAGGGGAGGACAGGCTGGGCTCCCCTCCCATCCCATGAGGCCCAACAAGTTTCGTCACTGCGGGCCCAGGCCTGCTGAGCCGCCAAGAGGGAGCAGGTGGAGTGACAACACCCTTTCCTCCCTGGGGTGGCCTGGCGACGGTAACATACTGTGAGGTCCGCACGCATTTCTGCCAAAAGCCACTGGGTTTTGAGATTTGTTTCTGAGTCTCTGGGATCATGGCCATTAAGCAGCTGGATCAGGAGCCAGAGAGGCCATTCGTGGGCAATGACTTGGGGTCTCTTTGGGGTGGGGAGGACAAGCCTGGCTCCATCCCTATCCTGTGAGGCCCTGTGTGTCTTGTCACTGGGGGCCCAAACCTGACTATCCAGTGGCCTCTGAAGGATGGCGGCCACTGGGCCACCAGGGGGAACAGGCCAAGGCACGAAACCTATTCCCATCTGGGTTGGCTCAACATCGGTAACCTACTGCAGGGACCGGACACATTTCTACCTAAAGCCACTGGTTTCCAAGATTCGTTTCTGAGTCTCTGGGATCATGGCCATTAAGCAGTTCAATCAGGAACCAGAGAGGCCTTGCCTCCAATTATATAGCTGAGCCGGAGGTGGTTTGTGGGTGTGTTTCCCACATACCTAACTTTTGGCTGTTTACTTTCTTGGTAAACTTTGCCCCAAGTTTTTGGGGTCTGGCCAAAGGCATAGCAGCAATTTTGGGGTATCTGGAAGTAAGAAGGCGCCATCAGGCTGCTGATGCACTCGCCTCACAGGTAAAGATTGACCTGCTGGTGGCACCGTACCCCCATGTGAGGTGTCTTTTTAAATTGCCTTTTTTATTCTGAATTCTTGGATCTATAGCCATCTAAAAATAAGTGCGATAATAGTAATTTCAGAATTAAAAAATACTTATGTTTAATAAATGTTGATCTTTTGATATTTAGAAATTTTATTATAAGCCCTTTCTGCAGCACTGCATGGTAGCACTGTCCTGTTATTCGTCAATTTGCTCAAGGAGGCAGCAGTAACATCTCCATTGTGAGACTTGTTGTTACTGTTTTTGGCATATCGAATACGTCACAGGTAGCTTTCCAGGCTTTGCCGTGTTGATGAGATATTCTTGGTAGACTACCGGGCTCTCTGAGAGGGATGGAGGGATCAACCCGGGTTGGCTGCGTGCAAGGCAAATGTCTTACCCGCTGTGCTATCGCTCCAGCCTGAGCCAAGAGTAAGGCCTGCAAACCACTGCATGTGGTCCAGAATCGAAACGAGAGAGACAGAGAGGCAGGGGGAAGAGAGAAAGAGAGAGCAAGAGTGAGAGTGAGAGAGAGAAAGAGAGAGCAAGAGTGAGAATGTGTGTGTGTGTGTGAGAGAGAGAGAGAGAGAGAGAGAGAGAGAGAGAGAGAGAGAGCACACACACACTGGTCCTTGAGGCCCTTATGTAGACAAGTCCAAAACAGTAGTAACATAGATCTGAAGCAACCCTGATATACTAAGGCCATGGAGAAACTGGATCTCTGTGTAATTTTATTTCTTTCCACTACTCCAATTACACAAATAAAAATGAACTAGTTAAAAATATCAAAGTTGGGGTCAGAGCTGGCTCAGTCGCTAAAGGTGTGAGGGTGTGAACTCAATTTCCAGAACTATCCCCAGGCAGCACAAGAACAGCTCTCTCCCTCACTCCCTCAATAACTTTCTCCCTGCCTCCTGACCTCCCTTCATTTCTCCCCCTCCATGGGGATTTGGGTCACATCCAACAGCACTCAGGGAATATTCTGGGCTCTGTGCTCAGCAGTGATGCCTGGCAGTGCCTGGGGGACTGTAGGTGGTGCTGAGGATTTGAGCCAGGATCAGTTGTGAACAAAGAAGGCGCCTTCCTCCACGATATCTCTCCAGTCTACCCCCCCACCCTTTCTGTAGAAAGAGCCCTTTCTGTAGAAAATTTCATTATAAATGCGTGCATCTGTCTATATTTATAATTTGTTCCCTGCCTGAACATCCACCACCTAGAGAGATGGTTGTTAAATATATCTCAGTCCACCTCTGGGCATTATATTGAGAACTCATATATTAACTGCCAGAAAAGTTGACAGACAAGCCAGCTATGGGAGTGGGACTCAGGTGGGAGAGTAGAGAAGACACAGTATCTCAGCAGAGATAAGGCTTTTACTACCTGGATGTTAGAGTGGCCATGGTTCTCTACTCTTCCTTCCTCTTACTTGTTGGGGGACTTGGAGAGAATTTCACCTTGGATGCCTTTCCACGTTCCTCAAGACAGCCATGCGTAGGAGAAGGATTTGTGATTGGCACGCTGGTAAGAACTCACTGGTCACACTGGTCCAGCTTCTCTGTTCCCTGTGGGGCTCTGTTGGTTGCAGAGGTCATGTGTTCATCCTGAAGTGAGCTTGAGCTTCAGTGCTTCATAGATGCAGGACTGAATCATCTCCCCAGTGGCACAGAGGGGTCTTCAGACAGTTTCCTAAAACAGAAGACTATTACCCTGTCCCCAATTCATTCGGGATTTTATTCATCATTTCTAGTCTCTATTTTCAATATGAGGATAAGATTAGCATACCAAAGAGAAAACACTGACCTCAGTACACTTTGATGTAGTGGTAAGTTGAAAACTGTACGTCTATGGGTTGTAAGGAGACTCTGGAATGATCTAGAGATGAAACAAGTATCAGGAGAGAAGTGGATTACTACTATAAAAGGTCTTCTTGGTTCTGTAAAAAAAAGATTTAGCCACTATATAGTAAAAACACTCCTGTGTATCTCCTTTATTTCTAACACAACACTTGTGACATCAGATGTGTGGTACTTCGCCATCGAAGAAATTCTGCAACACCAGCTGGTGATAACCGTTCTACTCAATTCTGACACCATCTGCCTAGAGTTAGCACCAGATCCCATAAGTTAGTCTCAGTCCCACAAGACTATCCTCACTTCAGATGTTAGTTTCAATTCCCAGATAGTTTCTTTTATCTCTGGATGACACAAAACCAAAACCAAGGCCTTCACAGCCTCCACTTTGAGTTCAAGAATTTGCTAGAATGGCTTCTAGAAGTCAGAAAAATACTCACACTTAATGTCTGAACTTGTTTCCCAAAGTGTGTGCTATGCCCCCTCTGGGGGCAGGTATTGAAATGATGGGGGTGGAGGGCAGTAGTAACATCAGGTGTAACTGGGGCATTATGCTTTATGTTTATTTGCTTAAAGAGGTAGATTTCTAGATGAAACATTTCATTTTCCTTCCTTCTTTCCTTCCTTCCTTCCTTCCTTCCTTCCTTCCTTCCTTCTTTCTTTCTTTCTTTCTTTCTTTCTTTCTTTCTTTCTTTCATTCCTTCTTTCTTCCCTGTCATGCACAATGATGTTCAGGGCTTACTCCTGACTCTGTGCTCAGGAATCACTCCTGGCACCAAGAACCAAACATAATTTCAAGGATTAAACTTGGGTCAACTGCATGCAAAACAGGTGCCTTGCCCACTGTATTATCTCTCCACCTTTGAGTGATTTTCTTGTCTATGAAAGTAGGCCATATAAATTTGGGGAGCTGTGGTGTGAAGAATAGAGCTAAAGGGCTAAAGAGATGCACAGGGCAACATCCAGGAGATTCCAGACACAGGCTCCCTGGCACTGTAGAGTTCTGGTGTGCCACTCTCCCTACAAAAATGTTGCCACTTACTCAGAATTGAACCTGGTACTTTTGAAATATTTATGGATCTTCATTACAGAGGCATAATGGATTGCTAGCTCCATTTTCAGCTCCTCTCCCCTCTCAGAGAATAAGGATAGGACTCAAGTTCTTAGTTTCTAATCATGATTAAGTCTCTGCTGACTAACCTATCTATTAAAACCAACCAAAAATCACATAATTGGAAAATAATTGGGCTTTAAAAGCTCAATGTCAGATGATGCTGTGACTCAGGAAATTCAAAGGTTTGTGTCAGGAACCAGAGGTAGAAATTGTTTGACATACCTCCTATAATTTCACAATCACCTACACAGTTCTTGAATATTCAGCTTAAGCAAGTATAAGTAAAACAGTCAGTCTATGTGACACAGAAATAAATGGGTAAAGCCAGTGGGAAAGATAGTATTTCAATCAAATGGAAAGAAATTCACAATCAAGGTCTCCAGGCATCTGCCACACACAATTTCTTCTGAAAGTTCTCTAGGTCATGTATTGGAATTCCTGTGTGCCAGACTGGTGCTCACCTACTGTTTGCAGGGGGAGAATGTCACAGGATGTTTCAGGACATGTATTTCAATATAGCACTTTAAAGCGTATTTTTGGTACTTAGTGATACCTAACACATAGACTCTAAGAAATCAAATGCCTAGACTCAAACTCAAGTTTGAGTCTCTCTTCTTATTTAATAGCATAGATGTTTGCATTGAGACTGAATAAAGGAAGTTAGAGGGTGGAGTATGGCATTTAGGAATGTGAGAGAGGAGATAAAATATATATTACCATATTAAGAAAATCTTACTAGTTCACACCAAAATCTGCATTACAAATTATTTCTAAAAAAGCCTTTAAAATCTGCAGTGCAAAATTGAACTTAAGCTTTCTTTCTACTCTACCCAGACTCAAAGCAAGGGAAAAGAAGCCTTTAAAAGCCTTGTTACTGGCCATACCACATGTGGCCTTTTAACAGTCTGTACACACATTACACGAACAAGAATAAATCAGAGACACAAATGACTTCATATTTTTTTAATATTAAGTTTGACTCAGATAAAAGAATCTAACAGTGATTTTTTCTTATTCTAGTTAATCTTTGAGTCATAATATAAAGGGGAACACCCCTCTCCAAACAGTCCAACTTACCTGGGGGCTCCTTCCAAATCTCTTGCTTTTCCTTTCAGAAGACAGTTGAGCGGAACCGGTGTCCCTGGGTATTAGCCCAGTAGATGAGGTTTCTTTTCCAGCCAACATCCAATAAATAGATATTCCAAGGATGCTCCTGAACTAAAGTTCTCTCTATAGAGGTTCCCATAAAACTGACTTTTAACAAGTAGAGACATTTTTCTGAATAAAACACAAGTTTTAATTCTACTAGGGAAAAGGTAGATGTGTTCATTTATTTACCAGTTATCAGGTATATCCCATGTTCCCATCTGGAGCAAATCCTCTCTTCCCTCATGCTGAGATAGGAGAGCACAATCTTTTGGAGTTCTTTTCTGAAGAACTGCACATATGTACATGCCCTAACTTCCACAGAGAAGAGAGTTACTTGGACAAGTGAAAGCACCACCTTGAGAAAACTGAGCCTCAATCCAACATCTCTGCTGAAAGATCTGGGCAATATCATGAGGGCTAGGCCTGGTGGAAGGCTCCAATTAACTCCATAATATCACTGAACCTTTGCTTATAGCTCACAATACTCAGCATAAAGGATTTTATGTGCAATTGCCTAATTTTTACAAAGATACCAAGGTATTTCCAAACAATAATTGTGTTTATGGTATTAAAATATAATTTTAGCTGAACCAGATTTAGCTCAGTAGCTTATGACTCCTTGATCACATTCCCTGTAAATTGCATGATTAAAACATGAACACATTCACATTTACTTTTAAAACTATCTATGGGGAAACAAATCAAGTAATTTGGAAAGAGATGTCCAATGCATTATTTAACCTTTAATATTTAGAAGACAGACTAACAACATGACATTTGGCCAATAACATTGAAATAGAAGCTGTGCTCATATTAATGCCAGGACCCACAGTATACATAATATTATAGAAGATTAATTTCTCATACCAATTTAGTTGTTAGTATTTTGTATAAAACTTAGTGGTATAAGTTATTTTTCCTGTTATAAAGTTAATCAACCTAAATATTCTTTGGTGGATGAATAAATAAGCAAAAGGCAATTAGTATGCATTGTATGTATTGTACTTATACAATGGGGTGTTGCACTCCTACAATGGAATATTATTCACTTTAAAAAGAAATGAAACTCTGACATATGTTACCACCTGGATGTACTTTGAAAGCTCCTTAGGTATAGTAAATAGTCATTAAAAGAAAAATAAATAGTATGACTTCATTTATATTGTTAGAATATTGGGCTGGAGCAATAGCACAGTGGGTAGGGCGTTTGCCTTGCATGCAGCCAACATGGCCGACCGGAGTTAAATTCCTCTGCCCCTCTCGGAGGGCCCAGCAAGCTACTGAGAGTATCTTGCCCGCAGGGCAAAGCCTGGCAAGCTCCTTGTGATGTATTCCATATGCCAAACACAGTAACAAGTGTCACAGTGGAGACATTACTGGGCTCACTAGGGCAATGTGATGAACAATGGGAGGACAGTGACAGCGACGTAGAATATTCAAATGCATTGAAATGGGATTGGACCACCATCTCCTTCATGCAAAATTCCACTTTATGGAGCGGGGAAAAAAGGGCTGCAAAGTTTAAGAAGAGAACACCCAGAACAACCACTCTGGGATCTCTTTGGCACTATTGCACCAACATGGGAAGATGCCATCATTGACAACATTAATGAGGAAAACGATCAACTGGTTCAGCACCCCCATCATTGTGCAAGGAATGCCAAGAGATAGATAGCCACAAAAAGACGTCTGTCTTCGAAAACTTTTGAGCTCATTCACCAACATGGCTTGGCGCAAGCGTCAGGTAACCACAAAAAAAACGTCCAAGCTCGCAAAGCAGTGCAGAGAAGCAATAAAGGAAGACCTCAAAGAGAGAAGAGCAGCAGTGCTGGCAGATGCGGCAGAAGCCAGGAAAAGCATTCACAATGCCCGCCTGTTCTTCACCAACTATAAGACCAAGATGACTGCCCTCTGATGTCCTGTTGGATATATCACATCTTCCAGAAGGGCAATGGGATTGGTATTTGATCATTGTATAATCGAAACCGAAGCAAAAAAATTTGTAAGTTTAAAACTGTACCTCATGGTGTTTCACTAATAAATTTTTTTTTTTAAAAAAGAAGGGCAATGGAGAAGATTATCCATGACTTCTACCCAGATATCTTCTATGGCCACGTCTACCTGCCCACATACCAAATTCTGCAGGATGGGTATGTTGTTCCTAATGTTCTCCCTTACAAAATCCTACATGCATTTCATCAGTAAAGAAGCGAACAGCTCCTGGCCCAGACAAGGTCAGACCCGAACACCTGAAGAACTTGCTGTCAGTACTTCATCTATACACTGGCTCAGCTCTTCACACACTACCTGTCTGAATATAAGATTCTGTCCCAATGGAAAACCAGCAGGACTGTTCTACTGTACAAGAAGGGAGACATCCACAACATTGGCAACTATCGCCTGATCTGTCTGTTGTCTGTCGTCTACAAGCTGTTCACTTGAGTCATCCTGAATAGGATTGGCAGAACACTAGATGAAGGACAACCATGAGAGCCAAGCCGGGTTCCAAAAAGAGTTCAGCATGATCAACCATATCCACATGATAACCAAGGTCATTGAGGTTTCTTGGGTGTTCAAGATGCCACTCTGTCTGACATTCATTGATTTAAAGATGGCCTTTGATTCTGTTGAGACTAAAGTGGTCATCAAAGCCCTAGCCAAATAGGACATTCAAACTCAATACATCAGGATCCTCCATGAGCTCTATTACGGATTCACTACCAGGATCTCCCCATTCTACAGGGAGGTGATCATTGATGTCAAGAGAGTGGTTCAGCAGGTTGATACCATTTCACTGAAACTCTTCAGTGTAACCCTCGAGAACATCATGCGATGACTGGAATGGGAAGGAATGGGAGTGAAGATAGATGGTCAGCAACTACACCACCTCCGCTTTGCAGATGACATTGTTCTAATAACACCAAACATTAGCCAAGAGGCACAAATGCTGGCCGACTTCGACCATGAATGTCGAAAGGTCAGACTACAGCTGAATCTCACGAAGACAATGTTTATGAGAAATGTTCTCATTCTGGACATTCAATTTACTCTCAACAGAACGAACATCTCCAAATGCAACAGTTATGTGTACCTAGGTCGAGAAGTCAACATGATGAATGACCTGGCACCTGAGTTGCACGGGAGGAAGAGAGCAGCTTGGAACACCTTCAAGAGCATCGAAGAAATAGCTAAGAGGACGAAGAACCTCCAGCTCCGGGCACATCTCTTTGATTCCACTGTTCTTTTTGCATTAACATACGCTCAGAGACATGGGCCATATGAAAACAGGATGAGAACGTTATTCGGGTCTCCCAAAGAGGAACCGAAAGAGCTATGCTTAGAGTATCACGCTTTACTCAAATAAGAGAAAGAATCCAGAGTTCCGACCTCCATCAACGATCAACAATAAGGGATGCTGTCTCGTTTGCCAAGGTGTCAAAAATCAGATGGGCTGGACACATAATGAGATTTGGGGATGACCGCTGGACTAGAGCATTACCCACTGGATTCCATGGGACGTCAAAAGATTGTGTGGCCACCGCCCACCCACGAGATGGTCAGACTTCTTCGTCAAGACCCTGAATGATCTGTTTGAGTCTCTTCATGTTCCTAGAATGAGCAGATGTCATTGGGCTACGCTAGCACCCAACAGGGTTGAATGGAGATGTTACAGGCACCCGATCGAGCAAATTGATGAGTAACGGGATATCAAGTGATCAAGTGATCAAGTGAGGCAGGAAATAGAATAGTAGTTTTTAGATAGAGAAAACTGATGAGCTACTGTTTATTGGGTATAGAATTTCATGCTGGGAAAGACAAAAACACTTTTGGAGATAGCTACACAAAAATGTGAGCATATTTAATGCCACTGAATGGTATTTAAGGTGAGCATATGGTCAATCTGATGTTATTTTATCATGGTACAAGCATTTTTCTAAGGATTAGAGGGATGATACGGTGGTAAAGTACTGTCTTGCATGTGGTTAATCCTGATTCCATCCCTGTCACCACTTTAGTCCCCTGAGCACTGTCAGGAATGATCCCTGAACACAGAGCTAGGAGTAATCCCTGAGAACAATCAAGTGTGACCCAAAACAAAAACTTATTGAGTCTTTGATGACAAAACTTGTTATTAGTTTAACAGTATAAAAGTAATTGATCCTAAGTGGAAGCTTCAATATTTCCAGGTGAACCATGGAACATACTTCTTGAGAAAAAAACCCTTTGTACACTGTATACTTACCAGTACATGAACCAGAAGGTAAAAGAAACATTTCTTCTGGACCTGCACATTTATAACCCTTGGGATGGACAGGTGACAGAAGATGTAAGTGGCTACATGAACCTGGAACACACACCTAGTATCTACCTTTTTAAAAATAAAAACAGTTTAGACTGAATTTCAGATGTGTTTATCCATACTAATTAATTTGGCAGGGGAGTTCTCCTGAGTACCTTGCTCAGGAGGTTCAGGGACTCCTTTAAAGACCAACCAAGTGGCTTCTCAATAAAAGGGTCTAGGATACAGTTAGGCCACATACAAGACATGTGTCTTAGCTTTTGTACTATCTCTGCAGTCCCTAACCATATTAATTGAAAACTTATCACTCAAGGATGTAGCACTGTAGCACTGTCCTCCCTTTGTTCATCGATTTGCTCGAGTGGGTACAGTAACATCTCCATTGTGAGATTTGTTACTGTGTTTGGCATGTCGAATATGACACGGATAGCTTTCCAGGCTTTGCTGTGCAGGTGAGATACTCTCGGTAGCTTACCAGGCTCTCCAAGAGGGGCAGAGGAATCGAACCCGGGTTTGTGGGGTGGGTCGCATGCAAGGAAAAACCCCTACCTGCTGGGCTATCATTCCAGCCCAGGACGAACTATGCCTTAAACAGAATTCCAATATATTTTCTACCTTCCATTTAGGCATGCTGACCATGCTTTCTTGTCTTTCAGGTATTTACAATGATCTATTTGTGTAAGACTAGGACCAACAAAGCTTGCTCTGCAGGGCTTCTCCTTTCGAATGAAGGCAAATTGACTCTCTTACTTGCTTAAAGTTAAGACTTTCCTTAGAAACAGAGTATTTCCCCATTGAGGATAATGCTTGCTGTAGGCTTGTGGTAGATGGCTTTAACTATATTGAGGAAAGTCCCCTCTATACCCATTTTGGCTAGGGTTTTCATCACAAAGGGGTTCTGGATCTTGTCAAAAACTTTCTCTGCATCTATTGATATGATCATATGCTTTTTATCTTTTCTCTTGTTGATGTGATGGATTATATTGATTGATTTCTGAACGTTAAACCATCCTTGCATCCCTGGAATGAATCCTACTAAGATCAGGGACAAGACAAGGATGCCCACTCTCTCGACTGCTGTTCAATATAGTACTGGAGGTACTTGCCAATAGCGATTAGGCAAGAAAAAGATATTAAGGGCACTCAGGTAGGAAAGGAAGAAATCAAGCTCTCACTATTCGCAGATGATATGAAACTATACTTAGAGAACCCTATAACCTCCACCAAGAAATTCCTAGAAAGAATAGACTTGTATAGTAAAGTTGCAGGCTATAAAATCAATACCCAAAAGTCCATGGCTTTTCTAAATGCAAACAGTGAGAGAGAAGAGAGCAACATGAAAAAAACAATCCCGTTCACAATTGTGTCCAAGAAAATCAAGTACCTTGGAATCAGCTGAACTAAGGAAGTAAAGGACCTGTACAAAGAAAACTACAAAATGCTACTTCAGGAAATAAAAGAGGACATGAGAAAATGGAAAGATATTCCCTGCTCATGGGTCGGGAGAATTAACATTGTCAAAATGGCAATACTTCCCAAAGCATTGTACAAATTCAATGCAATCCCTATAAGGATACCCATGACATTCTTCAAAGAAATGGAGCAAACACTCCTGAAATTTATATGGAACAATAAGCCCCCAGGAATAGCTAAAGCAATTCTTGTGGAAAAAAATGGGAGGAATCAACCTCCCTAACTTCAAACTCTACTACAAAGCAGTAATAATTAAAACATCATGGTTGGAGCAGAAAAGTGAACAGACTATGCATTAAGCCAGGCCATCAAGTCTGGTGGAGGGGGAAGGGTGTTGCTCCCTTCCGCCCTTCTGCCTCTGGAAAGAAAGATGGCGGCCACATGGGAGCCTTGTGGACAGCAGGTATGAGCCGGGGGTGTGGGGGCGACTAAAACCTCATGGGAAGGGGGGTGTTCCGGTCCGTCCTTCACGCCCTACCGAGGTCACCAGTTGCCCCCTGCGAGCGGCTCTCCAGCACAGCCACGGCCCCAGAAGCACAAGGACTTAATGCAGAACCCGGCAGCTTGGAGCAGAAAAGTGAAAGGACTATGCGTTAATCCAGGCCATCATGTCTGTCCAGAGGGGAAAGGGTGTTGCCCCATTCGCCCTCTCCTCTCTGGAAAGAAAGATGGCGGTCGCATGGGAGCCTTGTGGACAGCAAGTATGAGCCGGGGGTGTGGGGGCGACTAAAACCTCATGGGAAGGGGGGCGTTCCGGTCCGTCCTTCAGGCCCTACCAAGGCCACCAGTTGCCCCCCATGAGCGGCTCTCCAGCATGGCCACAGCCCCAGAAGCACAAGGACTTAATGCAGAACCCAGTAGCTTGGAGCAGAAAAGTGAACAGACTATGAGTTAATCCAGGCCATCAAGTCTGCCTGAGGGGAAAGGGTGTTGCCCCATTCGCCCTCTCTTCTCTGGAAAGAAGGATGGCGGCCCCATGGGAGCCTTGTGGTCAGCAGGTACGAGTCGGGGGTGTGGGGGCGACTAAAACCTCATGGGAAGGGGGGCGTTTCGGTCCGCCCTTCACGCCCTACCAAGGCCACCAGTTGCCCCCCACGAGCGGCTCTCCAGCACGGCCACGACTCCAGAACACAGAAACCAATTTCTTAACTATCTGACTTTCAGTAGAAATACTTCCAGGGTCAATAGGTAAAATAGCAGAAATCCAAAACCAACATTTAATTCTTGAACCCAGCTGTAGAAAGCAAATCACTTCACAATACTTTTTCAGCATGTCTGATTTGGGGGGGGGGTAAACTCTAAATAATAGTGGTGAATCTTTTATTGAAACAGTGAATCTAATCAAAGCAGATAGAGTGTTAACTAGAATTCATCTGCCTCACAGGGACTGGGAGGGATGGGGGGTGGGGTTTTATTGGGGTTCTTCATGGTAAAAAATAAGTATTGGTAAAGGGAAATGTGTTTGATATTTGCATGACTGAGACCTAAACCTGAAAGCTTTGTAACCTTTCCCACAGTGATTCAATAAATAAATATAAAAAAAAATCATGGTAATGGAACAAAGGCAGAGCTGCAGACCAATGGAACAGGGTTGAATATACAGACATTTCCCCTCAATCATATGATCATCTAATCTTTGATAAAGGTGCAAGAAATGTGAAGTGGAGTAAGGAAAGCCTCTTTAACAAATTGTGCTGGCAAAACTGAATGGCTACATGCAAAAAAAATGGACTCAGATCTCTGCCTAACACCTTGTACAAAAGTAAGATCAAAATGGATTAAAGACCTCAATATCAGACCGGAATCCATAAGGTACATTGAAGACAAAGTTGGCAAAACCCTCCATGACATTGAAGCTAATGGTATCTTCAAAGATGTCACACCACTGGCCGAGCAAGTGAAAACAGAGATAGATAAATGGGACTATCTTAAACTAAGAAGCTTCTGCACCTCAAAAGAAACAGTGACCAAAATACAAAGACAGTCTACAGAATGGGGAAGGATATTCGCCGAATACATATCTGACAAGGGGTTGATATCAGGGATATATAAAGTACTGGTTGAACTCCACAAGAAGAAAACATCCGACCCCATAAAAATGGGGCAATGAAATAAACAGAAACTTTCTCAAAGAAGAAATCTGAATGGCAAAAAGGCACATGAGAAAATGCTCTACATCATTAATCATCAGGGAGATGCAGATCAAAACCACAATGAAATACCATCTCACACCTCAGAGACTGGCCCACATTCAACAGAACAAAAGCAACCGATGCTGCCACGGATGTGGTGAGAAAGGGACCCTCCTTCACTGCTGGTGGGAATGCTGACTGGTTCAGCCCTTTTGGAAAACAGTATGGGCGATTCTCAAAAAATTAGAAATTGAGCTCCCATTTGACCCAGCAATACTACTCCTGGGAATATATCCCAGAGAGGCAAAAATGTATAGTTGAAGTGACATCTGGGGGACATGAAGTAAAAAATAGGAGATTAATACCCAAGAAGAGCTGAGATCAGTACCGGGAGGATTACTCCATGGCTTAGAGGCCAGCCATGCATTCTAGGAGAAAGGGCAGCTCAGATAGAGAAGGGAGCACCAAATAAAGGGTGTTTGGAGGATCCTCCCAGGATAGGAGATGCATGTTGAAAATATACTATGAACCGAACATGATTGCCACTCAATGCCTCTTTTGCAGACCACAACACCCAAAAGGAGAGAAAGAACAAAAGGGAATGCCCTGTCACAGAGGCAGGGTGGGATGGGGGCCATGGGGGTTGGAGGAATACTGGGATCCATGGTGATGGAAAATGGGCACTGGTGGAGGGATGGGTATTTGATCATTGTATAATCGAAACCCAAGCACAAAAATTTGTAAGTCTACAACTGTACCTCATGGTGTTTCACTAATAAAAATTTAAAAAAAAGAAACAGAGAGTAGTCTAGGTGCTCTACTTTTGTTGTTTTTTAAAAAATGAAATATTATCTGAGTGGAATCCAACATAGGATTTCAGATGAATGGAGACTTTTTTTTTTTGCTTTTTGGGTCACATCTGGCGATGCACAGGGGTTACTCTTGGCTCTGCTCTCAGGAGTTACTCCTGGCGGTGCTCAGGGAACCATATGGGATGCTGGGAATCGAACCCGGATCGGCTGCGTGCAAGGCAAATGCCCTACCCGCTGTGCTATCTCCCCAGCCCCTGAGTGGAGACTTTTAACTTCTAGTCAATGTATATTTTAATTTTTGTCCTATAAGCAGGATTCTGGGTTAGGTTTAAACTTTTTGTTAACAGTGGGCACATCAGTGAATAATCTATTCCAGATCTCTTTTTTTTCTATATTTCAGACATTAAAAATCTGGCCACTTCCCTGGGCAAGCACACATTTGGGATAAGTTTCCCAGCAGATGATCTTATTCAGTTTATCTGAGTTAGAAGTCCTATACAAGTTTGGAATGCTACCCAGAACATTTCCCTTGTTTCGAATAGCAGGTTCCAACAAAATAGCCTTGGCAAGTAATTTGGGTACATTCAGTTAAGCATGCCTTCTTATTCATAAGCATTTTAAATACAAACTATGTACTTACTCTTTGGATGCTGGGATTTGTGGAGGATTGAGAAAGCAGCTATGGAGGCAGTCAGTAGCACCACTCTCTCCTTTGGGGTGTGGGGTGAAGTATGGACTAGATTATTTGCCCAGAAGAAAAATTCTCAAATACAGCAAGTCCCACTGGATCTTCACGTTCCAAGAAGACCTCAGGGAAGGTGTACTTCCCATGGCCGTCCACTTTTATTGTTTCTATGGACTGAAAAGATATGAAACTCCTGACTAAATATCATTTTTTTAAAATTAAAAGAAAATTTATTAGTGAGACACCATGAGGTACAGTTGTAGACTTACAAATTTTTGTGCTTGGGTTTCAATTATACAATGATCAAATACCCATCCCTCCACCAGTGCCCATTTCCCACCACCACGGATCCCAGTATCCCTCCCACCCCCCCGTTGTCTCCTCCCACCCTGCCTCTGTGGCAGGGCATTTCCTTTAGTTCTCTCTCTCTCTCTCTCCTTTTGGGTGTTGTGGTTTGCAAAAGAGGCAATGGGTGGCAATCATATTTGGTCTATAGTCTACTTTCAGCATGCTTCTCCCATCCTGGGAGGATCCTCCCAACACCTTTTATTTGGTGCTCCCTTCTCTATCTGAGCTCCCTTTTCCCCTAGCATGTGTGGCTGGCCTCCAAGTCATGGAGTAAAATTCCTAGTACTAATCTCGGCCATTCTTGGGTGTTAGTCTCCTATTTTGTTACCTTATAAACATCATTTTTGTTTTCGTTTTTGTATATCATCCAGTGGTTCTCAGAGCTTACTCCCGATTCTGTGCTCAGTGGTTACTCCTGGAGGAGCTCAGGATACCATTTGTGTTGCAAAGCAAGCATCAAAGTCTTGAATTATCTCTCTGGCCCCATGACTAAGCATCTTTAGATGTTATTAACTTCATGGGAATGAATTCATCTTGAGATTTATGAAGGTTAGTTCCAAGTCAGTGGGCTGAGCTATTTCTTGTAGAAACTGTGGTCACATGTATGTCATACAAGTTTACATCTAGACATCATGCCAAATCTTCTCTCCAACTGCCTTACAAGGAAGGCAGTCTTTCTTTTTTCAGAGAGGGCAATGAGAGCTCAAAGAGGCACCCTAGCCAACATGGAAGCAATATGCCCAGTAGTATGTCTTCCAAATCTAAGTTTTTAACTATCATTCCATGCTGGTTCTATAGTCTGAAGCTTTCAAAATTGAGATATGATAAATAATATTAAGACCTAGAAGTATTGGGTCAAGGCACTGAAGTACCTATGTAACTGAATGCTTTCAAGATAGTAGCCTGCCATATTATTAAGTTTGGTGTCCTGACTCTAGCAAAGAGTATGGCTGTATTACTAAAAAATTCCAGTTCTGAGTTCAGCATAGCATTTTCACAGAAGTTCCAGTAAATATTCCAATCCATTTTGATTCAATTAGACTCTACCTAAAGATATCATTAAACCTTGCTTTTTTTCCCCAAAAAGGTACCTCACTGACTTAATCTAAGACGTAGTAGAACATTGTACTTACCTTATACTCATACAAAATTCCTGCTAAAATAATTCACCCTTCCCTCTGGACCTTTTTGCAATACCTCTTTTTAGTTACTGATCCAATAGAACCTTCCAGTCATGTGATCAAGTGTCAGTCCTACGGGCTCCTCTATAGTTACAACAGCAAGTACTTTCCTATCAGAGACATCTATCCCTGCGCTTTCAATAGTCCTCACGCCTCTCTCACCTCTTTTAACCCAGAACATGTACCTGAGAAAAGCCAAAGTGTAAAGTGTTAGAGAACCCCCTCGCCAGAAGCATAAATATTATTTTTACAGATATACTCTTATTTCTTTTGTATTCTATAAGAAACAGTTTTCACATGCACACCTAATATCCTTGTGCCACTTAGACTGTTGTAATTTCTGCTATTATACTCAGCACACGTGACAAAGTTTGGCCCCAAAATATTCAATTTAGAGTTCACAATTAAGAATTTGGGAAGCAAGTGAGACATAGGTTGCCAGGTTTGAAGGGGTCTCTTTTTAAAATCTAAGATAACCACAGCTTTTGGATATATACTTACTTCTTTTCAGGAAGCATGAGCTGCTCTGGTATAAGATCCTTTTCCAAGACTTTTACATAGCCTCTGCCAACACTTACGCCAGCACAGATGACCCTGGTGAAGCTGCTAGCCCAGTACAACTGCCCCATGAACCAGTCCAAAGAGATACTGTTCACTACTTTCAGTTCTGGAGACAGAAAAAGCAGTGTTAGGTTCCTGTATTTTTTTTTTTTGCTTTTTGGGGTCACACCCGGCGATGCACAGGGGTTACTCCTGGCTCTGCACTCCTGGCGGTGCTCAGGGGACCATATGGGATGCTGGAAATCGAACCCAGGGCGGCCGCGTGCAAGGCAAACGCCCTACCCGCTGTGCTATCTCTCCAGCCCCAGGTTCCAGTATTCTTCTCCACCCATTTCACTTTTAGAAAGAAGACGTGAGGGAACAGGGAGGTAGTCCATGGTCAGGGACTATTCCTCATACCTGAGCATTAAACCATCTAGCCTACTTGGCCAAGCATTAGCAGAAGTAACTCCCAGGTCCCCTAGAGCACTGATTCCCACCCCTACCTGCCACCACTCAAAGAACCTCAGACAGAACATTCTGCTTCTTTTGGATTTGAGCAAACACAATAAGACAAATTGGATGCAGGGGATTAGAACTAGGAATGTTAGGTGTTTTCAACATTCAGTAGACCATAAAGTTATAGATATTGATGTAGATATAGATAGATAGATATAGATAGACATAGATAGATAGATAGATAGATAGATAGATAGATAGATCGATCTTAGCAAAAATATAACCAAGAAATCTAAGAGAACCTAACCTCAGTTTGAGGGCTGTATTGACTGCATGAGTCTCAGGTGAAAGTTGTTATAAGCTTGACCTTTATAAACTCAACATGTTAATTACTAGGAGAGCATTTCTTTGTGCCTAGAATATTCTTTCGCATGTACTATTCAACCCCAACACTTGAAAAGTGCTACTTCCACATCTTAGAGGGGCTTAAAGGGGTTATCTTTGTTATTCAAGGTCATGTACCTAGTATAGGACTGACACTAACTTTGATCTGAGCCTGTATCCCCAATCTTTCCATTTTGCTTAATCTATTTCAGTCTTAGATTATGTCCTAGAAATCTCTTAAAGAGCCAAGTTATAGTCTTACCTCAAACCAGGACTTTATGTACTTTATGATTCATGACAAATGAGTCACAGGAAATTTCCATATGAATACATATATCTGTTCCACTATGTTTAAACTGTAAGATGCTAACATTCTTGATGCCAAGAAATATACCTGGATAAAAAGGAACAGAATTTGGCTTCCTGAGAACAAACACATTTAAAATGCTATCCACCCAGAAGTACATGCCTCTCTCAAGATCATATGCAACAGAAGTAGGCCTTGATTTTGTAGGTATAAAAATCTCATATATGTCTGTTCTTTTCTCCAGAACACCAAGCCCTTGATTTGATGCAACGAGAATCTTCAGGGTACCATCTGAAATATAAAGTAGAAGAAAAGGAGAAACTTTCATGCTAGTTTTACTTATTTATTTATTTATTTTTAATTTATTTATTGAATCACCGTGAGAGCAGTTACAAAGCTTTCAGGTTTAAGTCTCGGTCATACAATGATCAAACACCCATCCCTTCACCAGTGCATATTTTCCACCACCAAGAAACCCAATATAACTCTATCCCACCTCTCTCCCTACCTATGAGGCAGATGATTTTCACTTATCTCTCTCTGTACTTTGACTACATTCATTATTTCGACAAAAGATGCACCATTATTATTATTTCCAACAATCAGACCTGCTGAAAAGGCATCGTGAAATAATTTGTTTTCTATTGCTGGTTATGAAGAACATATGGTGTCACGTGGCCACTATTGCGGCCATGTAATTTTGGATTTCTGATATTTTACTAATTGAGTCTGGAGGAATTTCTGCCCAAAGCTGTATAGTTCCAAGATTGGTTTGTGTACTTCTAGGTCCATGGTCGTGCCAGAGAGCTGCTTGTGGGAGGTAACTCATGGTCTCAGCAGGGCAGGAAGGATGTGGCGGTTCTGTCCCCCATTCCATGAGGCCGCAATTGCCCTGTCACTGCTGGCTCATACCTGGCTGTCCAATACGCTCTGAGGCAGCCACCGTGCTGTCGGGGGGTTAAAAAAGCGGAAGAGACAGACACTCTTTCCATCCCAGGGGGGGCACAGTGCTGTAACTTAATGCATTGTCCTTTCACATTTCTGCTGAAAGCTGCTGGGTTCTGATTTAGGTCCATGTGCCTCTGGGGCCATGGCCGTGCCAGAGAGCTGCTCGTGGGGGCAACTTGTGGTCTTGGCGGGGTGGGAAGGATGTGTCAGTTCTGCCCCCCATCCCATGAGGCTGCATGCTAGTTTTAATAACTAAAGATTATGTCTTATCTCCAATGCCCCAGATCTACATTATACTCAAAGGCTAAGAAGTAACCAAAGGGCAACTGACTGGCCACTAATAAGTCTTAATGTCTTCCTCTGTATCTCAGAATGTTGAAACTAATCTTTAGAACTTTACTATCTGGTTATATTTCAGATCCAGGTGCCCTTCTCTGCACCTGGGCCAAAGTCATCTCATAACTAATATAATGTGGCCAAATGTCAATAAATGTTCTACTGTTAAAAAATATAGGCCAAGTTAAGATTACATTGTTTAGGGTATTTGGAACACCTCCTTAGATAGACTCAGAATAGCTATGTTATTTAAAATATACTTGATAAACCGAGATTTATAGAGGGCAGAGTAGGAGGTTGAGGAGACACTGAGACAATGTGGAGGGAAGTAGACACTCTGGTAGGCGCCTCATGAGAGGAATGTTGTGTGTATGAATCACTATTATGAACAATATTTTAAATTATGGAGTCTCAAATAAAACTTGAACTATTTTTAATTAAAAATGAAAATATATCTAATGCCCAAGGAATGGTCAAAGAATGTTAGAATAGCAGGTTCTTGATGGAAAGAATAAAGTCATCTCTAATACTAACATTAAAATAATTCGTAGGTACCAATTTTATCTAGAATTAACAAGATAGAGAGGGAGTTAGGCTTTAGACCAGATCCTGAAATGCACCTGTCACTCGGCAGTCAGTGCCATTGTGGAGCTGGTGACCTGGAGCGCAGTCACAAGAGTAGGATCCTGGTGTGTTCTTGCAGAGCTGGCCACAGGGGTTGTGTGCCATGGAGCACTCATCCACATCTCAGAGAGGTAAAGGGGAGAGAAGTCCTAGGAACAATCTATTGAGTATTTTTTTCTGGAGCCATTTGCTAAGTGCTCACTCAAATTTTATAAAGAGGAAATCAAGTGCTGGACAGCACTTGCCCCCACAGAAATCACCAACACACCGACTGATTCCACAGAAACACCCTAGGTTGTTTGGCTGTGCTGAGTTCTGATCTCCTCTATCGCCCTAAGAACCATTTACAGTGTCTCTCTACTGCTTATCCCTTAGACACTAGGCCTGGCCATGGAGAGGTTGTGTATTCCCAAACAAATTAACTCTGTCAATATGCTAGATAGAATATTTTCTCATTAGTTATCAGTTGATCTGCAATTTTTACAAAATAGGAGAATAACAAAGTTTCGCAGGAGATGGAAATATTAGAACTTTGTATATTGCCCGTGAAAAGGTGAAATGGTCAAGTTACTGGAAAACAGTTTAATAATTTTTTTAAGTGAAACTTAGAATATACCCCATAAGTATGCAATTCCACCTCAGTCATATATGCAAGGGAACCAAAAACACAAACTCAAGCAGACACCTGTACTCTCCATGTTCATCCCAGTAGACAAGAACCAAAAGGTGAAACACAAGATGAACAGCACAATGTGACATATACACTTTGGAACGTTATTTGGTAGAAAAAAATTCTGGACCAGAAATTCACCTCAGGGGTTAAGCTGTGTGTCTTGCATTGAACTAACCTGGTTATATTCCCCAGCACCACATGGTCCCCCAAGTGTCACCAGGCACAGCCCTGGAGGCCCATAAGCACTGCTGGGGTGACCTGGGAAATCCCTGGCACCACAGGGCCTGGTTAACACCACATTCCAGCCCCCACAGTTAACAGCTTTCCTAACTACCTGAGAAATCCCAGAAGAGATCCCTAGGTCTCTGAAGCACCACTTGAGAGGCCTACCAATTTGTTTTCTAAGGAAAAAAATTTTACTACGTGGCACAAGTTAGATGTTCCTTAAAGGTGCAGAAAACCCTGGTCTGGGGGATGGCTCCAAGGGCTGGAGCACAATCTTCACATGTATAAGTCCTGGGTTTCATCCTCTGCACTACCTGGTACCCCAAGAATGCCAAAAGTGACCCCTGACTACTTTATCAGGGGTAGGCCCTGAGCATATTTCCCTCTGCCTCCCACAAAATTAGTCACACACAAAATAATAAAGAATATACAATTTCCGGGAGTATGGTGCTGCCAGCAGGTCAATCTGTACCTGTGAGGCAAGTGTTCAGCAGCCTGATGGCGCCTTCAGACTTCCAGATACCCCCAAATTGCTGCTGTGCTTTTGGCCAGACCCCAAAAACTTGGGGCAAAGTTTACCAAGAAAGTAAATGGTCAAAAGTTAGGTATGTGGGAAACACACCCACAAACCACCTCCGGCTCAGCTATATAATTGGAGGCATGGCCTCTCTGGTTCCTGATTGAACTGCTTAATGGCCATGATCCCAGAGACTCAGAAACAAATCTTGAAACCCAGCGGCTTTTGGCAGAAATGCGTCCAGTCCCTGCAGTAGGTTACCGGCACTGGGCCACCAGGTGGGAAAAGGTTCCGTGCCTTGGCCTGTTCCCCCTGGAGGCCTGGTGGCCACCATCCTCCAGAAGCCACGGGACAGTCTGGGCCCACGGTGACAAGACACGTGGGGCCTCAAGGGATGGAGGTGGGGCCGGCCCTTTCCTCCCCACCCCAATGAGACCCCACATCACCGCTCACGAATGGCCTCTATTGCTCCTGATCAAGCTGCTTAATGGCCATAATCTCAAGGACTCAGAAACAAATCTTGAAACCCAGTGGCTTTTGGCAGAAATGCGTCTGGACCCCACAGTAGATTACTGTCGCCAGGCAACCCCGAGGGAAAAGGGTGTTGTTCCTCTGCCTGCTCCTTCTTGGAGGCTCGGTGGCCGCCATGCTCCAGAGGCCACTGGATAGTCAGGTTTGGACCCTCAGTGATGAGACATGAGGGGTCTCACGGAATGGGGTGGAGCCCACCTTTTCCTCCCCATCCCAATGAGACCCCAAGTCGCTGCCCATGAACGTCCTTTCTGGCTTCTTTCAAGCTGCTTAACAGCCATGATCCCAGAAACTCAGGAACAAATCTTGGAACCCAGCAGGTTTTGGCAGAAATCCCTCCAGATTTAAGTGTTAAAATTTCGGAATTTCAAAATTGTACGGCCACTACTGCAGCCATGAGATATCATATGTTATTCATAACCAGCAGTAGAAAACAAATTGTCTACTATTTCCTTTTCAGCAGATCTGAGTGTTGGGGTAAATATCAAATAATAATGGTGGGTCTGGTGTCAAAATATTGAATGTGATCAAAGTAGAGAGACAGTAATGTGGAAATCGTCTGCCCCACAGGTAGAAGGAGGGTGTGGGATGGGGGTATACTGGAGTTGTTGGGGGTGGAGAATGGGCACTGGTGAAAGTACAGGTGTTTCATTTATGACCGAGACTTAGACCTGAAAGCTTTGTAACTGCTTTCATGGTGATTCAATAAATAAAATTATAAAAAATTTAAAAAAAGTAAGGTGGAGTTCATGCCCAATTCATGCCCAATTCAATCAGCTAATCAGTGGCTGAATAAATAGCAGTACTCCTACATAAAACAAAGAATATATGATTTCACTTACATGGAGATCAGAATAGAAAAGTTGATGAGCACAAAATATGTGTTTCCAGGGAGGACAAGGGAGGAACAGATGTTTAGTCGGTTCAGACTTTCTGATAGTGATGATGATGATGATGATGATGATGATGATGATGATAATGATGACGACTAAGCCCTAGGAGTGGCAGCATTGATGGCTGCACACATCTGACTGCAACTGACCCTACTGAACTGTTCATTCATTCAAACTGTCCAACCTAAATCTTTTTGATGTTAGTATGCTTTCCCATAATTAAAACATTTCAAAATATGCATCCTAAAGCTTCTGACCTCCACAGCTCTGAAAATCTGGCTGCAACTGACATCCAGGGGCACATGAATGCTGGATACCCCAGTTAGTGTCCACGCACAGCCTGTCACAGCCTCTGTTGAGCAGAGAGCAGTTTTTACCTTGTAAAGAGAGGACAGTAGTGAAGGCAGGAGAACACAGAAAAATCTCCAGCACTTGTGAACCCAGAGTAACATAGCTCTTCATACTCCCATCAAGAATAAAAACAACTCATTAAGAATAACTTTGGGGGGCTGGTCAGATAGTCCAGCAGGTAGGCACTTGCCCTGCATACTGCAAACCCAGGCTCAATTCCCTGTACCCCATATGATATCCCAAGCTTGCCATGGCTGATCCCTGAGCACAGAGCCAGGAGTAAAGCCTAAACATAAAAAAGAATAATCTTAGTAAGCCATAAAAAAAGAATAACTTTGGGCAGTCTCAACTGTCAGTTTTGTTGGGCATATCTCAGAGTAGTTTTCATTTGCATCACCTATTTTCTTGCTTTCTTTTTTCAACCTCTATGTGTTAGTGAGACCAGGGTGAGTGGGGGGAAGGAGAAGGAACCCCAGAAAGTGATGGAGTGTTATTGACGATTGTGGTGGGGATGGTGCGATGGCATCAGAAGCATAAAACAGCATGATGAATATTCTTGTCAACCATGATGCCTCAAGAAAAGGAAACTGATTACAAGACAAAAATAACCTTTGACCCTGCCATCTTCCCAAGGCACGTGAGACCATGGAGGAATCTGTAGAAGAGAGAATGTCAGGTGCCACAGAGCCAGGGCTTGGCATCACCTTGTAGGTTGACACTCTATACAGTTTCAAGGCTTGCTGTTGACTTGTGGAGTAGCTAAGAAAACATTATCTCTATTTTCTTCCAAGTTTTGCCTGCTTGGACCTTTTACTCAGGAAGTGATATGATTTACTAATTCCAATGATGGAAACTGTGTTTTGACCCATTGCTGATGGGTGTTTTTTTCTTTTTTGGGTCACACCCAGAGATGACAAGCGTTATCCCTGTCTCTGCACTCAGGAATTACTCCTGGCGGTGCTTGAGGGACTCTATGGGATGCTGGGGACTGAATCCAGATCAGTTGCATGAAAGTCAAGGCCCTGCCCACTATATCAAGGCTCCCAGGAAACATATTTTTAAAAAATATCTTCTAGGGCCCAGAAGATAGTATATTAGTTAGGATTCAGTCCTAGCAGCCAACCTGGGTGCTATTCCTGCCACCACCTGGTCCCCCTGAGCATTGCTGGGTGCAGTACTGGAGGCCTCTGAGCTCTCGCGGGTCTGGCTCTGGAAGTGCACAGCACTGCTGGGGTGTTCCAAGTATCCCCCACATGGAAAGCCCCAAACACCATCATGCCTTGGAGCCCCTGCACCAAATTACAGCCTGATTCCTTGAGAATCACCTTTGGGGCCCATGAACTTTCTGAGTACCAGGCAGGAACCATCCAAAATAAAATAATAATGAAAAAATCATCTCCAGGATAGATGCCCAACTTGAAGCAAGAGTGACGTTAACAGTGAGATCCACAGTGAAGCTACTTGTTCAGTAGCTCCCCAAATCCCACTGCACCAGAAAACAGTCTTGCTCTGTTGATTCCTCGAAGAACTCATCATTCTGTCTCCAGAAAACAATTGACTTCTCTTTGGCAAAGTTTGTATTGTGTATCCCAGTATTTTAAGAACGATACACTTTGAGGTCTTCAGCTAGTTTGCTACCCCACTGCTACAATTTGAGAACCACTATGGGAAGTTTGACAGTTCAGGTAACATTGGCTCACTCTCAAGGACCTGGAACAGTCAGTCTGAAGGAAACGGACAGATACAGAATCATCTCTCACAAAATCGGGATGCCAAGATACACAACAAAGTAGCCACAAGGAGTCAATGGCAAGAGAATGGGAAGAGTTGGCCCACAGAGTTGAGTTTGTGAGGGGTGCGTGTGCGGGGGGAGCGTGGTGTTGGGAACTTTGGGGGAGGGAGACTCTACTGATGGTGTGGTGTTGGGATGACACACACAAGAAACTATTATTAAAGTTTTGTAAACCAATCAATAAATATTAAAAGCATTTTGCTAAAAAACATTTTTTAAAGCTATACAAATGATGGCTGGAGCGATAGCACAGTGGGTAGGGCGTCTGCCTTGCACGCAGCCAACATGGCCGACCCGAGTTCGATTCCTCCGCCCCTCTCGGAGAGTCCGGCAAGCTACCGAGAGTATTCGATATGCCAGACACAGTAACAACAAAGTCTCCAATGGAGACGTTACTGGGCCCGCTCGAGCAAATCGATGATCAACGGGAGGGCCTTTACTTTACTTTACTTTACTTATACAAATGATAGAGCTAAATATCCAAACCAGAGAGTAACACCACTGAAATCATCAGACCCAAACTTTAACAACCAAACTTTTGAAAGTGCCAAACTTTAAAAGTTGGAGGGATAGTTCAGGATGGGAAATGTGTGCCGAAAGTAGATAAAGGACCAAATGTATCTCTCAGTCTTTATATTGCAATCTAAAATGCTCAAAAGTAGAGAGAGAGTATGGGGGAGATTGTCTGCCATAGAGGGGGGGGGAGGGTTAGGACGGGGGAGGTTACTGAGGACCCTGATGGTGGAAAATGTGCACTAGTGGAGGGGTGGGTCATTGTATGACTGAAACTCAGACATGAAGGATTTGTAACTGTGTCTCACATTGATTCAATAAATTAAAAAAATTAAAAATTAAAGGGCTGGAGCGATAGCACAGCGGGTAGGGCGTTTGCCTTACAAGCGGCCAACATGGCCGACCCGAGTTCGATTCCTCCGCCCCTCTCGGAGAGCCCGGCAAGCTACCGAGAGTATTGGATATGCCAGACACAGTAACAACAAAGTCTCCAATGGAGACGTCACTGGGCCCGCTCGAGCAAATCGACGATCAACGGGAGGGCCTTTACCTTACCTTACCTTAAAAATTAAAAAAACTTAAAATTAAGGAGCCGGTCAAGAGGGCAGTATGGCAGAGTGGTGGGGCATGGAAGGGAACCTTGGAACACTGGTGGAGCTGATACTGGTAGTAGTGCTTGAACTTTGTAGTCTAAAACCAACTTTGAATAACTTTTAAATTACTGTGTTTTTTTAAAAATACAAACAAACAAATAAAAACAATGTACCAAAATCAATAATTAAGGGATTGATCACTGAAGGACTGTTGCTTATGGAGAGTGTGCCTCCATACATTCTCTGCAAAGTTTGACCCTGTACTCACTATACAAATAACCACTGAGCTGGTCAGCCACATCTTCTCCCTCCCACACGTAACCAAGTAACTCAATACTTACCACACGTCTTGGGTTCATCAGTACCATCAGTACAGTCAGCTTCCCTGTCACATATCCTGGATTCTGGGAGGCATTTCCTTTCATCGCATCTGAACATGTCCTCTGGACAAAAAGCTGGACAGGAGCAAAGCATTCTTTTTCATTATCACTGTGAGTGTGTGTGTGTGTGTGTGTGTGTGTGTGTGTGTGTGTATTGTTTGTAGAGGTGGGTAGGGGGGAGCAGGAGAGAAGTGATCGACAACTCTTACCATGGGCAAGATGACAATATTTCTATTACTCAAGGGAACTCTAAAACAGAAAATTATTTTTTTTCTTTTTTCCTTCTTAGGCCACTCCTGGAAGTGCTCTGGGGCTATTTCTGCCTCTGAGCTAAGAGTGGCCCCTGGTACTGCTCAGGAGACCATAAGCAGGCCAGGATATCAAACCTGGGTTGGCCACATGCAAGGCAAGTACCTTACCCCCTGTACTATCCCTGCAGCTCTGCAAGTTATCTTTTATAGTAAAATTTTCAAGAAATTGAGAGTTAAAACCTCATCCCAAAGACATTCGGACACATGGGAGTAGATTGAACTCGTATTCAAAAAGAATCAAGCTAGTATTTGAGAGTTCTGATTGGAGTAGTTTTAAAGTCAGTCAATACTAGTCTTAAGGGAAATATTTACTTAAGAAATTATTGCATAAGAAGCTGGAGGCTCCCTCTACTGTTGTCATGGTCAGAAAACAGATATAGGACTTGTGAGTTCTTTGGAGATTTCTCCCCCCCCACTTCTCTGAGAAAGTTTCCTTCTGAGTTCAGTACACTGTTAGGAGCCATCATCATATCTGTGAGTACCCACAGAATCAGGAATTCTGTGCACTGGCCACATGGAGCAGGGAAATGCCAGCCATCATCCAAGTGTGCCTAGCAGAGTGATTATTCTTGCAAAGACAGTACTCTGTTTCCACGATGAGCTAAATTTAGGATATTCCTGGGAAGCATCCTGTTTTCAGTTATAGGACAGCAGACTTAGTCACAGAATAGATACTACTTGCAAAATGCAGCCCCCACGGTACAGCCTTCCCTCTCAAGAGGGCTGGTGATGGGCACCAGACTAACTACACATTTCCTCAATGGAGAAGTCACCACGGTCATCCCTGCCATCACACTTCCAGCCGTGGGCAATGCACGCCTTGTTCTTACACTGCCATTGTCCTGCTGGGTAATAGCTTTGGGGGCAGAGGGCTTCCCCAGGCCCATATTCACAAGCCTCATGCATGTCACAGAGCTCCTGGGCCTCACAACACTAAACTGTGTGACCGTGTCCTGGACACTTGATTTTGAATTCAGGACAAGCTATAGACAGTTCTGAAAGGCAGGAGATGGATCGCTAAGGTAGAAACTAGACTTGTTTATGTAGGTGTTAGGATTTTGCTCATGGATTCAGGTCTGTAGCAAGCCCAAAGTTTAAAGAAGGGCTAGCCACTGAGGATACCACACTTTGCATACCTTAAAGAAGTTCTCAGTGGTGACTCCTGGAAGACTGGTGGACTACATGTAGTACCAGGGAAATAACCTGGGTTGCTGCACGCAAGGCAAGCACTTTACCCCTCTAACATTTCTCTGGCCTCCAAAGAACATTTTTTAAATCAATCACGATCACGATCATCCTGTTGTTTGTCGATTGTTTCGAGCAGGCACCAGTAATGTCTCCTTCTTCCTAGCCCTGAGATTTTAAAAGAGCCATTTCAATGCTCTTTCAGGGTTAGGAGAATGAGACCCATCATTGTTACTGGTATTTGGCATATTGAGTATGACAAGGGAAGTTTGCCAGACTCTGCCGTGCGGGCAGGATACTTTTGGTAGCCTGACAGGTTCTCCAAAGGAAAAATAAGATAATAAGATGTCTTATTATTTCCTTCCGGGAGCTGGGTTTTATAGTCTCTGCATCTTGGCTGTTGATGGGACCAACCTGGCGCTGGCGGCAGCTGGTAGGTGTGACGCCTACCTACTGGAAGATGGGGGCTCTGGGTGGAGAAGGCCCAGTCCCAATCCGAGTAGGCTTGGAGACCTCAGCCCCGGGACCCACATGCCTGGGTTCCTCTGCCAGTTCTTTCATGCATGAGGCCCATCCAGACGTGTGGAAAGTGGTCCCAGCATGGCCGTGGCTGGCTCCGGAGGTCCTCAGCTTCTGGGGCTCTGCTCGGGGCGGGGGTGGAGAGAGAAACTCAACCCTCCGCCCTTCAAGGGGCCCCGGTGAGGACAACCAGGCGCGGGGGCAGGAGACTCTGTGCTGTTTTTCTCTGGGAGCTGGGTTTTATAGTCTCTGCGTCTTGGCCGTTGATGGGGCCAAAATGGTGCTGGCAGCAGCTGGTGGGTGTGATGCCTACCTACTGGAAGATAGGGGGGTCTGGGTGGAAAAGGCCCAGTCCCAAACTGAGTTGGTTTGGAGACCTCAGCCCCGGGACCCGCATGCCTGGGTTCCTCTACCAGTTCTTTCATGTATGAGGCCCATCCAGATGTGTGGAAAGTGGTCCCAGCATGGCTGTGGCTGGCTCCGGAGGTCCTCAGCTGCTGGGGCTCTTTATTTATTATAAAGCTAATAAATTTATTTCGAGTAAAGTAAAGTAAAGTAAGTAAAGTAAAGGCCCTCCCGTTGATCGTCGATTTGCTCGAGCGGGCCCAGTAACGTCTCCATTGGAGACTTTGTTGTTACTGTGTCTGGCATATCGAATACTCTCGGTAGCTTGCCGGGCTCTCCGAGAGGGGCGGAGGAATCGAACTTGGGTCGGCCGAGTAATTTTCTTAATTTAATTTTCTTAATTTTCTTAAATTGGCCACATCATATTCAATCAATAGTTTTGCCTGACTGATGTCGCTTTTGTCCCCAAATTCCAAATGGGATTGGACCACTGTCTCCTTCGTGCAAAATTATACTTCATGGAGCATGAATAAAGGGCTGCAAAGTTTAAGAAGAGAACTTCCAGAACGACCACCAACTGGGAACTCTTTGGCACTATTGCGGCAACATGGTAAAATGCCGTCATTGACAACATTGATAAGGAGTATGATAGACTGGTTCAGCACCTCCATGATTGTGTGAGGAACACTGAGAGAGAGATAGCCACCAAAAGATGCTTGTCTTTGAAAACTCTTGAGCTCATTTGCTAGCGTGGCTTGGCGCAAGCCTCAGGCAACTGCAAGCGAATGTCCGAGCTCGCAAAGCAGTGCAGAGAAGCGATAAATGAAGACCTCAAACAGACAATAGCAACAGTGCTGGCAGATGTGGCAGAAGCCTGGAAAAGCATTCGCAACGCCTGCTTCTCCTTCACCAACTACAAGACCAAGATGACTGTCCTCTGATGTCCTAATGGATCTATCACATCTTCCAGAAGGGCAAGGAAGATTATCCATGACTTCTACTCAGATCTCTTTGATAGCCATGTCCACCTGCCCACATATCAAATTCCACAGGATGGATAAGTCATTCCCAATGTTCTCCCTTCCTAAATCCAACACAGCATTTCCTCAGTAAAGAAGCAAACAGCACCCGGCCCAGACAAGGTCAGACCCGAACATCTGAAGAACCTTCCATCAGTACTCATCAATACACTGGCTCAGCTCTTCACATACTACCTGTCTGAATGCAAGATTCCATTCCAATGGAAAACCAGCAGGACTGTTCTACTGTACAAGAAGGGAGATATCCACGACATTGGCAACTATTGCCTGATCGGCCTGTTGACTGTCATCTATAAACTGTTCACTCGAGTCATCCTGAAAAGGATTGACAGAACACTAGATGAAGGACAATTATGCAAATAATCCGATTTCAGAAAAGGATTCAGCACGATCGACCATATCCACACCATAACCAAGCTCATTGAGGTTTCTCAGGAGTTCAAGATGCCATTCTGTCTAACGTTCATCAGTTTAAAGAAGGCCTTTGATTCTGTTGAGACTGAAGTGGTCATTGAAGCCCTAGCCAAACAGAGCATTCAAAATCAATACATCAGAATCCTCTGTGAGCTGTATTATGGATTCACTATCAGAATCTCACCATTCTACAAGGAAGTGATCATCCATGTCAAGAGAGGGGTTCCGCAGGGTGATACCATTTCACCAAAACTCTTCAGTGCCACCCTCGAGAACATCATGCGATGACTGGAATGGGAAGGAATGGGAGTGAAGATAGATGGTTGGCAACTACACCACCTCTGCTTTGCTGATGACATTGTTCTAATAACACCAAACATTAGCCAAACAGCACAAATGCTGGCCGACTTTGACTGTGAGTGTGGAAAGGTCAAACTACAGCTGAATCTCATGAAGACAATGGTCATGAGAAACAGTCTTGTTCCTGATGTTCCATTCACTCTCAACGGAACAACCATCTCCGAATGTAACAGTTATGTGTACGTAGGTCAGAAGTCAACATGACAAATGACCTGGCACCTGAGTTGTGCAGGAGGAAAAGAGCGGCTTGGAATGCCTTCAAGAGCATTGAAGAAATAGCTAAGAGGATGAAGAACCTCCGGCTCTGGGCACATCTCTTTGATTCCACTGTTCTTTCTGCATTAACATATGCCTGGGCCCTATGAAAACAGTATGAGAACGCTATTCGGGTTTCCCAAAGAGGAATTGAAAGAGCTACGTTTGGAGTATCACGTTTCACTCAAGTGAGAGAAAGAATCCAGAGTTCTGACCTCCATCAAGATCAAGAATCAGGGATGCTGTCTCCTTTATCATGGCATCGAAAATCAGATGGATTGAACACGTAATGTGATTTGGAGACAACTAGAGCCATTACCAACTGGATTCCATGGCACGTCAAAAGATTGCATGGCCACCCACCTACGAGATGGTCAAACTTCTTCGTCAAGACTCTGAACGATCGGTTTGAGGCTCTTCGTGTTCCTGGAGCAAGCAGATGCCATTGGGTTACAACTAGCATGTGACAGGGACAAATGGAGACATTACTGGCACCCGCTCAAGCAAATCGATGAGTAACGGGTGTCATGTGATCCAGTGATCAAGTGAATTTTCTTAAACAGAGAAGTTGGTAAAAATATGACCTGTTACAGTAGAGAAAATGTACTACATGGTTTGAGTAGTTCACACAGTATTAAGCTCCTTAATGACTGACTCATTGCATTTCATTCTTTGTGTGTTCATCAGTGGTGCCATTAAGTAAATTATGATGATGAAGGATAGAGTTAAATCTGGAGCCAGGGAGTTACTGCAGGGGTGAAGGAGGTTGTCTTGCATTGTAGCAATCTAGGTTCAAATCCCCAGCGCTACATATGTTCCCCCCACCCCAGGCACTACCAGGAGTGAGCCTAAGCACAGAGCTAGAAATACTTCTGGAGTATCACTGGGTGTGACCCCCAAAGCCCCCCCAGAATAAAATGATAAATCTAGAAAAACATGTCATGCCTACCACAGTTAATCTCCTCAGATCCATCTAAGCAGTCACCATTGGCATTACAACGCCAGCTAAGAGCATTTCCCGTCATCACACTGCCAGGCCTGTGGGTGTCTGCAGCATGCTTACTCTGTGGCCGGCACAGTGCCCCAGAAGTCACCCAAAGGAAGGAAGACTCATGTTCAGGTTAGCATATTGTTCTTCGATTTAGATTTCCTGACAGACTGGATTCCCCATTCACTGAAGTCCACCTGAAGCTGGTCTGCCTACCCTTGGTTCCACTGCAAATACACCCAGTGCCTCCTTCAGAACTGCCTGATGAAGCTTGTTCTACTGTCATTCTTCCCCTACCTGGTAAAAGTTTCCATGGTAATGGAAATACTTTCTTCTGGCTATCCTGTGTGGTAGCTACTAGTCACACTGGCTACTGAGCACTTGAAATGTGGCCTATAGAGGAATAGAACCATTTTGTGTACTTACATCCAAATCCTCAGACAAATTTCGTACTGCAGTGGACAGTGTAGTTTTACAGGTTTGCTTAAAAAATGTCTTTAAACTTAAGTTTTAGGTTCTCCTTTGGAACAAATTAGGTCCTTATGTTTATAGGGTTATTTCTGAGTTGCAAATATTCCTTGGTTTCCCCCCATTCAAACTTGACTCCCACATCAGATGCAGAGTGTGAAGAAATTTCTTTTCTGGCATTTGTAAAGGGAAACTTTGGCAGTGGACAGTTACTGCCAAAGGTCTGTCAAACGACACATAAAGGTTCACGTGACTAAAAGTATCTAGGTGTTTGGGATTATATGGAGCTTTAAGAACACAGAAATGTGTGAGT